TATATTTTATATTAAAGTTAATAGTGTTGAGTTCTTCGGGCAACTAATTACTATTTCCAATAAATATTGTAATTTATTGCTCCATGCTCTGATTGGTGGCAGAAATCAAGAACGATTTACGGTACAAACTTACTATTTTTAAATGTGACAAATTTCGCAGACATGAATACGTACTTACGTACATATGTACATGAATATCTGCTATATCGAAAATGCTGATAAATAAAGTGGACATACCCCCTCAGTTCTGTATATCCATCTATATCTATATATGTACCTTTGCTACATGCATATTACCAAAATAATCAATCAATGATAGTTTGACTTTGATATATTCACAATAAAAATTATAAGGCTTATGATAGATAGCGATAACAACTGTATGTGTGCAGATATAATGTAATAAAAAGTTTACTGCTATACCGATGTATAACGTTTGCAGCCAATTTTTTAATTTTTTTTGTTCCTAACATATTTTTCAAACTTAAATGTTTAGCCCAATGCATTTATTTCTTTCTTATCCTTTATTACTACCATTTCTCTCTTTCATGAAAATATTTGACCACCCTGTGGCACACGTCAACATTCCACAAGGCATGTTGCATCCAGACAACGCTTCTTCGTATGAATTCGTTTATTGGATGGATGGTCGATTCTTGTTCGTCGTTCGTTGCATTTTGTCTTCTGTTCTACTTGTATTTTGTTGTTAGTGTTGCCTTATATGACTTTTACCAACGTATGCATGCACTTATACCCTTTTCTTGTTAAATATCCCCTAACAGATGTACATACATATGTGTGCGTGTTCTGACATACTGTCTATATGTATGAATGTATACTAACGTAGGTTTTAAAGTTAATTTCGGAATAATAATTTTTTTTTAATAGTATTTTGTGCTTCTTTCTTTTTTTTTGTCATTTATCAGGCAATATTGAATATTAATTTTACTACTTTCGTGTATGGGGTATAAGAATTTCCATCGCTTATAATTTAGTTACTGAGCATTTCGCCCAACCCCTTGCTGCCTGTCTTCTTGGTGGCACGTTGTTGCTGGTATGTGTTCGTATACGTAAATAAAATTTATTCGCTTTCCCCCACCTTAATATTTTAAATTAGGGTTCCTCTTTTTTTTATCGTAGTAAAATATTTAGAAAATGAGATGTTTCTAAATTAAAGGTAGTAGTGCTTAAGAGCTATTTTAAAAATTTTGTGGTATTCATCTTCCACTCGCATTAATTAAGCTCTCAGATACACACGATTTTAGCAAGAAGCTGTATACATACAGAATCCCCGTAAGATTAGTTTCTGCAGATATTGCTGAAATCATAGCTTGATCTTGACTTGGGTGCTAAAATTTTCTAAATTATTTACATTTAAATTCAGGTTCAAACCTTCAGATATTTGTATTCTATTCTTCAGTTTATAAATATTCTGTACATGTATATTATTGACCCACCGTAATGTAATTTCATGTATTTCCATAAGTAAGAATGTGTGTACATCCGCATACACATGTGTTTGCAGAAAGATAGGGTCGGATGGTTAGTTCATCGTTCGTTCTTTAGCTCGCTATGCTATTACCGCACATACATATCTACATATGATAAGCGCCGCCGTCGTCGTGGCTTCGGTACTGTAAAATTAACGAATGAATGCTGTCGCCTGCTCGGTGTTGGGTAGAGTCACGCTGGCATTGCTGTGCAAATGTGCAAGTTGTATCTACACATGTACGTAGGTATGTATTAATGTACGAAAGGGCGACGGGCTGCCGTAGATATGGGTAAAGCAAAGGCAGCAACAGCAGCGGATTACTTGTGTTTTGCCTTTGCCATTCAATTGTAGTAAGCGACGCAGACAAACGTATTAGTGGCCAAGGGCTAGTGTAGTAGAGAACAAATGTATAAGCATAAAGCAATTCTTGGAACGTAAGTAGGCAGCAACGTTGAATTTGCCAAAGTAAAGACAATACCCTACAAAGCATTATATTGTGAAGTGATACAAGGACGTCAAGAGAATTCGCTTTGCCGCAGTTACAGTTGTGAATTAAAGCAAAAATATTTCGTTTTTTTTTGTGTCTGTATGTATGTTGTATTTACAGCAGAAAGCGGTTTTGAAAGTACTTTTGGAGAAATACGAAAAATTGCCACTGTAATGAAAAGAGAGGTGGAGGTGGATGCGGATGTCAAAGCCGCTAAAATAGCTTAAAAATATGACAAAAACATGGTGAATAATAACAACGCCAACATTCTTTAGAATTTTTCTTCCGTCTGCTAACAAAATATCTATGTATCTGTATACTTTTATGTCACTTTTTTCAATGCTGCAAGCCAACGTGCACAGAGTCGTCGTCGATTCTTATATCTGTCGTTTGGTCTGGCTTGACTGTCGTTCTCTGTTCGGATTTCGTCGTGGTTAATGCTGGCGTTGTCAAAGGTGTTTGTCGCCTGCCTTCGTGTATATTTTAGCTCATGCTGCTCATATTCAATCAACTCTCAAAGAAAAAAATTCTTTTGCATTATTGAGTTGTGCAAATAAAAAGGCAAAGTCAAGGAACGTACCGGCTACAGTTATAGAATGGGTGCTTTGTTTTTGTGTTTATATTTTTTGATTGTCGGATAGGGCATGCGAAATTTTTGTGTCAAGCTCATTTTCACGTGAAAAAATGTTCACACCGATTACGAAACTGATGTGGGCATTTCATAAATGCATTAATTTAAAATATAAAGTTTGTTATTAATAGTTGCACTCAATGTTTACAACTGTATGTTAAGCAATGTTTATCGGTTGCTATATAATATTTCATCCAGCTTCGTTAAATTAGTATTCTTTTGGATAATATTTTATATTCTTCAATATATTAACTAATTTCATGTTATTCGCAATTTCTTCTGTTTTCACATGTATCCTTTATTTTTGACATTTATTCACATTCCTCTAGTTGTATCTTCATTGTGAATGAAAAATCTAATTTAACATTATTATTTTCGGTAGCAGTTGTCCACATACTTATGTACATAATTGCATTTGGCAATTGACAGCTGTTATCAAAGACTGATGTTCCATTGAACACTCAAAACTAATATCTTTTTCTATAATATTAATGAAATTAATTACTCAGAAATAAGAAGATAAAGCATAGTGTCTACAAAATATTTGGTTCAGAAAAATAAAAGTCTACAAGTTCAGACGAATGGCAGAGAAAATGCGCAAAAGAACGCGGCTAACGAAAAAGCGCGCAAAACACGTTTCGAGCGCATCAACACATCATAGGCTATATACGCGTTCACATGAATATATGTATGTATATTTACATGTAAGCTAGCAGAAGTAGAAGCACTAACAAAACCCCACTATATTTTATAGCCGCATTCGTTTGCAGCCGTTGCGAAGACAAGTCAAAAGGCAATAATAACAACGGCGGTCGGTCGTAATGAAAGCGCGAGAAACGACGCCGACTAACCAACCAACCACACGACCGTGAATGCGAACACCGCTTCGCTTCATGCTAAATGGCGGATCGTCATTGTAGCCTCTTTTTGTTGTTGCTATTGTGAACGTCCTCCTCCTCCTCGTATCTGATGAATTTTTTCTTGCCTGTTTCTACTGCACATACACTTTACTAGCTTGTTCGTGGTTCGTTCACTCACCACACATTTCACGTTTAAGCGCGCCGCGTGTAAAATTTTGTGAAAATATCTGCTAAATCTTTCGCAGGAAATTCTATAATTCCAATAAAAGTAAGCAGTGTTAAAAATTTACAAACCAAGTTTGTACAGAATTTTAAAATTATTTTGTGGTGATTTTAATTGCGTTAAAGTTGTAAAGGTTAAAAAAAATTTTTTTTAATGATGTAAAACAATCTCATTTAACCAAGCAAAGACGGTAGAATCTCGCACTAATAAATATCTACGAAAATAATCAGTGAATGTAGTGACACAAATCTAGCTACAGGCATACATACATATGTAGTACATACATAAAAGAAATTGCGTGAATTAGTCTCTTCATAGAATAGATCGTTAGAAAACAGAAATTCTGTTAAGGAACAATAAAAAAAATAGTTAAAGCTGAAAAACCTGTGTGCCTGTGCCTCACATTCGAGTTAATAGATATACATATAGCTCATAGTTGAGATTATTATTTTTTTTAAATTTGTGACATCGTGTTTATCAAAAAGGAAATATTAAATTGACGCAAATGCTGTGTACAAATTTGCTGAGGACATTGAAAAATATCAAAATACGAACTATCTGTGAATTTCGCGGAGTAGAAAACGTGTTAACTGGTTTGATAAAGACGCTTCCGAATATTACGATAAAATTTCGTGAGTATTTTCCTTTGTCCAGGTTTACAAGTTCCAACAGAACATCTGATTTGTTAGTGTACTCAGCTGTTTCTTCATAGTGCTGTATGCAAAGTGCGTGTGTGCAGGTTAACTGTAGAGTTCGTTTTTAATCAAAGACCAAAGCCAAATTAAAACAAAATTAATCCTTCCGCAAACCGTTTATATGCCTTCAACTTGGTGCAATAAAATATATGTAAAGAAATATTTAATTTCGTGTGTGTAAAAATTGTAAATAATTATATTGCTTTCTTTTAAAAGCTGTTGTTTAAAAAAAATTAAAAACGTGTAACAAATTTTTGTTAAGCATTCACATATTATCCAATTTAGCCTGTTTAAATTCAATCTGCTGTTAATCACATCGTTGTCTTACGTAAAATATCGTCGCGTTTTCGTAAATCAATCTCTTATTTTGATTATATAAATAAAGTAACGTTACTTTATTACAAAGGTGTATTTATATATATACATTAATTTGTAAAAGTTAATCGGTAAAATATAGTTTTATACAACTAAACGCCCACCAAAATGTCAGAGCACAGTGCGTGGGGCAACCGCCAAGCGACCGCAGCCGAGGCCGCCCTTTGGTGGCCCGGAGCGCTCGCGGCGGCCGCGACACAGCAACAACAGCAACAACAACAACAAACCATTGATCAGCAAACTCTTCAACACTATCAGCAGCAGTTGGCTGCGCAGCAACAGCAGCAGGCAGTACAACAACAACAATTACAGCAACAGCAGGCCCATCAAGTGGTCGTGCAACAAAATCAACAGCAAGCACATCAAAATAATGCCAACACCACTTCTGGTGTAGGCACCCAACAGTTATTTACCTATAAAATGGCCAGTAGCTTCCCAAATCCAGCCACGACCATGGCACAGGTGGTCGCTACCTCAAATGCGGCCGGTTCAACCGGCTACGATTATCGTCTTAATATGGCACAAGCAGCTGCAGCGGCAGCGGTACCCGGTTCACAATGGTGGTATTCGGCTGCGAATTCTGGACAAATAGATGCCAACACCGCCGCACAATTACAGCAGCAGCAACAACAACAGCAGCAACAGGCACAGCAACAGCAGCAACAGCAACAACAACAGCAGCAGCAACAGCAAGCGGCTCAGCAACAGCAACAGCAGGCTCAACAGCAGCAACAGCAACAACAACAGCAGCAGCAGCAACAGCAACAACAGCTACAGCAGCAACAACAAAATGCTACAGCGGTAAGTGAAATTGATTACATACTTTTCTATTATATCTACTATGAATATAAACCATCTGATCAAGTTTTATCCGGACTGACATAACCGAAACAAAATCGTTTGCAGATATGTTATTGCAAATCTATATTATCCCCTCTTTAAACCACTTTTCCATACACTTGTTACAAGACCCGGTTGGAATGGCATCCAATACCTACAGGAAATTTTGAATTTTTCGATTTAAGTAAAAATTTTTTGCACAATTTGGTAAATTATTGGACAATTTCGATGTCATATGCATTAAAATACGCCTCGTCACTAGCAATGATGAGTTTGGTGAATGTAGGGTTCACACGATCAAAAAAAGTTCGGACCAATCTAGAAAAAAATGTAACGATTCGGTTTCGCGTGCAGTTTATTGGGACCATTCTGAGTCAAAATTGATTAGATGGTAGGCTTTATAAGTAGATTCATAAATACGTACAAATTTTCACATATGTATATACATAATACACTAGGATTCCACCCAACTAAATAAGCATAAAGATGATTTGTCTTCTTAAAAGATTTGGATAATGCATCAATAAAATTTCGTGCCATTGTCGAGTGTTATACGAAAGTTACGGAAGCATTCCTTTTATTTATATGTATGTTAATATTAAATGTTATTTAATTCCTCGATATCAACTGATGCTAGCATATCTAAATACCAAGAAGGTTGTTGCCACCAGAGGAAATGTTTACGCCGTTAAATTCTCATTTTAAAATCAGATGTCTAATTAAAACTAAAACAGTCAAATTTACATAAATGTTATAAATACAAATACATAACATACGGTACAATATACATTGATATATTCCACGAATAACTTTCCTATTTACTGTCTACGATAAGGCAATGAACGACCTGGTTTGCATATTTTTATACTTTTCTTTTTTGGCTTCGTGGTTCACATTTTGTTCTGCTGTAATTCATACAGTACAACCTTTTTATTTTATAGGTATATTTTTTCGCGCGCTTTTACTGCTATGTTTGTCACCCCATTCATACAAGAGTACCTATCTATAAAAATATGCAAATTTATGTGCAAACAACAAAAATAATATCTATAGCAAATAAAATAGCAGCTGTTGCATTGTGACATGTGCGGATTTCTAATACACGCGTATAAAAATGTCTATGTACTTCCTGTACTACATATGTGTAAAAAGAAAATTGTATAAATTGAGAATAAATATATTTTAACATCAAGAATGTAAATACAAAAAAAAAATCACATTAAGTTGATCATCCATCTTCTTTTACACTACATTTATGTCATGAAATATTAGAGATTTTAACATTTTTTCTATTTTCATCTACGTACATAATTTTTTGCATTTTATTTTCACTTCTTCGCGTTACTTTGGTGTTGTGTTGAATGGTTTTAAATATGATATTTAGTCATGCAACTCTCTTTGCTACACCCAAGTTTTAACAGAGCTTTGTTTCCCTGTATCTACAGTATATTCGTATGTATGTAAGTAGGGGCCTCTGCGCCAGACATTTGGTAGACGCAATAATAAAAGTATGCACAGAAAATATTTTTTCTAAAGTCACAAGGAATGAAAGCTGTTGCATGCTTCTCAAAGCTGCCGACAAACAAACATAAAAATAAAGAACCCTTGACCGAAATTTTTTCGTGCCATTTTGTGCATAGATTAAATGTAGTAGATACATATGTATGCATGTATATTCTATGAGAATGTACGGAAATATGTATAATTTTTTCTTCCTGTAACTTTGTTTACTTATTGAATTTTCCATTAATATTTAAGTAAAAGTTCTTTCAAATATTAGGTTATTTGTGTTGCTAGTTAGAGGCTGTGGTCATTTTAAATTTATTTTATTACTTATTATGTAAATTTAAAAATATTATAAATTATATTATACTATTACATTTGAAGTAACGGTTTATATCCACTTGCAAGTCAGAAAAATTCGGCTTTTTGCGATTTTTTTTTTTGAGGAAGCATTTTATTATTAAGTAAATGAAAAAATTTGCACTTTAAAACATAGTGTTATATATTTAAATTTTGGATTCGTTTGTTTCTGTAGTCGATTTCTATGAAAAATGTATCTGGCGGTGAGAATTTTGTCTGCTAAAAGTTATTTCCAATCCCCCAAACCCCAAAATTTCTTTGGTCAAAATTTTGATCTTTGACAAAATTACAGCTTTGAAAAGAGATATATTTTTACATTTTGTAGATCCCGATATCGATCCTGATTACCCGAAAATTATATCTTAGAACGTCGTTTGAAATTTCATATCTTTCGGTATAGTCGGAGAAAATTTTTCACCGATTTGAAAACATCCTTATTGGAAAATCGCAGTAAAAAAACACTTGTCACATCAACTACACATTTTCTGGGAATATGTTCAACTATTCGATATATGTATGTACTAAGTATATGCAATCGATTTTTTGAAATTCACGAGTGAATATAGCCTCTTAATATAATAGATTTTTACATTCATTATTTACTTAGACCTAATACTTTATTCAGTTATACTCCACGTCCCCATTATTTACTTATTTAATCGCTAATTTTATTTCTACTTACGTATGCTTCTAATTTCACAAATGCCTCAAATCTCTGCTCTTTGTTATCGTACTTTTCGGCGCTATCAGCGTATTGTTTGTGTTTTTTGCTTTACACATGAGAATCGAGTATCAATTAGTATTATTTATTAGTAAATTTGTTGTGGGATTGTTCGAGTTTGACAGCTCTGTCAACACATTTCGTTCTCTTATTAGTCTTATGCCTACTATGCAAGTGCCCATGCAAATTCTCTTATTCAGTACGAGTAATTTAATTGATAGGAAATTTAAAATAGAACGATGGCAGCTTTGTCATGCAGTACATTTTTTTTTGTTGATAACCACGTGCTTAGTGTGCAATCGAGTTCGTTAGTGTGGTTATGTTATACATAAATATGTACATATATGAATCATATGAATTTTACATTATTTGTTATTACTTTAAATCCATTGAAAATGTTGATGGAAACCTTCGTTAGTTGTTGAAAAGAAAAATTAGATGCCTTTTACTTAACCTTAGATTCTTATTTAAGGAATGATCATTTCATTTTCAAGATTGGTACATACTGTTTACAATTTTTATATTCAGTGTTCTCTACAAATATTTACCTACGTGTTCCTTCAAGAGACACAACGTCATACACATTCGAACAAGATTTGCATTGTTGTTATTATTTTCGTTCGTATTTAATAGCGTCCCAATTTCGCTGTGCTAATTAAATACCAGATATACCGGCAGCTCCCCTCATTGATTGGCATGCACGTGTAAATTTGTATACGCATATGTATGGACATTAGGATGGGTTGAATTTTGCCGAATGTGGAAGACAAATTTGCAGTTTAGAGATATTCGATTTGCTGCACTTAATTTTCGATTTCAATGATAGTTCGTTAATTGTATATATCTCCTCTATCTGAAATTAATGGCAGATGTTCATGATTTTCCATCTGATAAAATTTTATTTAATATACATTTATATTATGGCCTTCAAAATAGGGTCAATGGCGTGCGTTCTGTGCCTGTAGTAATTTTGTTTTTGTTTCGGCACATTTTTGAAGCGCTAGAGATGTTGATGTTCACGGCTGTCTTTCTCATGTCAACTCGACGATTGTTGAAACTGTATTGATATTAACAGAGGTGGATGGACTTGCAAATTTATATTCTCGATGACTTCACGACCTTCAAAGATTGTTACTGGCAAAGGGGACTTACGCAACATTTTGAACAATTCCGTAGACGCGATTACACTCGAAACAACCTTTTAGTTTTTTAATAGTTAAAATCGGCTAAAAACAGCTGCCAAACATACACTAATTAATATGGAGATAAAATTGAACATAGGTTATACCAATCCAAGAGCGAAAAAATTTCATTGATTCGATTTTTATAAATCATATAACAAACAAAATTTTGTAACAATTGTGTTAGACATGCATATATTTGGGGCCTTACTTTATTTAAAAATATATGTTTATTCAGGAAATTAATCCGGACTAATGTTTTATATGTATGCAGTTCGCATGTGTATTACTGAATTACTGGTTTGGTTGAACCTTTTGCAAAACGGGCATTAACCGCAAATATATGTCCATATTCATATGTGTATGACACATTTACGAATGTTGTTAGCAATATAAAGGGGGCCAGAATGATAAATGACAATAAAAAGGGCAAATAACGACAAAATATAATTTTGAGCAGATAAAATTTCTACATTTGTGGTGAAATTCAGTTATGACAAAGTGAAAGTTATTAATGAGTCAACAGTTTGTGGTTAAAAAAAGCAAAATTTTTTTGGCCACATTTTTAAATTTATTATAAAAAAGTTCAATTTGTACATATTTTATTTTCATTGCGATAAATATTCAAATCTTAACAGATTTTCCTTTAGTTTTTGCCAAAAACATAGCATAAAAAAATTCAGTCCTTGACCGAGAATGGTAGATAATTGGTTGCGTCTTTCGCCTGAGGAGCCAGAAAACTTGACGAACCTGACCAACATTTTTTCTTCAAATTGTGTTTAACGGAAAACAATGTATATTTTTTATATTTAAACTGTCAAAGCGCATAGACAACCAGTTTTATGCGTTTCAAAACATGATGCAATATAACAAATATTCCGCTTGCATTACAGAACATTATACTTTGTTAATGTGTATTTCAATTGACGTTTTCGAAGTCAACTAAACTTACATATATGTACATATGTATGTATCCTTGTATTGCCACCCACATTTGCACAATATTTTCCGCCGATGTGCGGTAGCTCATTTGTTGCTTCACGTTGTTGATTTCCTCAACGCAAAATAAAAAAACTTATATAAGAAATAAGAATAATGATACCAAAAAGTATAGTGTGTGAAGACAAAAACAAAAAAGTTGGCAATACTGCAATAAAAGTTAGTGCCGCATGAAACGCCTAAATTAACCCACGTTT